GACTGTTATTCAAGATAAACATAGAACCAATGTTACAACTGAGAGAATTTCAGAGTCCTTGGCTATAAGTCAGGTATTTGGTGTTATATAAGGATTTATCCATCACTGTTTAAAAAGAATATCAGATAGCCTCTGTGAAATGAATGAGGGGAGCTTAAGCCAGTATGAGGAAGATTGGTAATGAGTTCACTCATCACATCTCTTGGCCAAGGAAAACATGCACCTTCTCCAGAGGCAGCATTTTTCTTCCATTCTGGGAGGTAGAGGAACACATGAAGTACATGTAGTCCAGGCTTTCAGATGAGCAAATTTCACTAGCAGTTTTTTGTAACCTACTCATAAATGAATGGAAGAGAAATTGTGAGGTAACTAGAGTCTTTATCAGCAATGTCATCTCTGTAAAAACAAGTCAGTCCTGTGCTTCACCAAAGTATGGACCTCTCGGTCTTGTATTGATACACTGAGCCAACATCCCCTACCCATCTCTCAGAATGGTGGTTGGGTGACACTGTAAATGTGCAGGTATGTGGAACTGTTTCTTTTTATAATCCTCAAGATTTCAATAGTGATTTGTTCAGTTTTCTCTGACTTGGGAGGCATAAAGATATTTGAACTTCTCATTTCAGATTGACCTTAACTTTCCCCATTTTTTTTTTCCACCTCAGATCATCCAGTCCCTCTTAGAACTTGACCAAAATAGAAGCAAACTAAAATTGTATATTGGACACCTGACAGCCCTCTGCCATGACCGAGACCCCCTGATCCTTCGTGGGCTCACTCCACCAGCTTCCTATAACTTGGATGATGACCAGGCAACTTGGGAGAATGAGCTGCAGAAGATGACCCAGGAACAGGTAAGTCACTTGAACTTTGATAAGACCCCATCAGAATTCAGCAGCTACTTAGGTCGATGCAGTAGGAGCTACCTTGGGGAATTCAGTGCTCACTGTCACGGTTCTTAGAGTGGTTACTTCTTTCGATATTAGGAATTACCATTTGAAGGAAGTGCTCCTTTATTCTTCCCTCAGTGTAACTTGCTCGAGTATCAGGAAGGCTGATTTGAAGGAAGAAGATAAAGGACAGTCTATTCACATGCTGCACGCTGTTTCGTAGAAGCGATGGCCACTGACAATTGTGGCCACTGAAGGAAAGTCTGAGTTAAGGATATTTGGATAAGGGGTCTCTGACAAGTCAGTAGCATGTATCTTCACTTGTTTCTAGGGAACTGTGGGTTGCAACATACCACGTCTTTAAGAAAAGAAACATTAGATTGATTAGTTTAAGTCGCCCCCTGCCCCCCACTGTATTTGCTGTTCACTGTTGCCTATAAAGAGAAAACAGGACGAAGATAGGGATGGAGAGCAGGCATGGAAAGTGGAAGGAAAAAAAATTGAACACACACTTAGAAATAGAAAGAGAAATAGAAGTTTTTAAAGCATGAATTCTAAATGCCTTTTGCTTCTAGTTTGTGTTGTAAATTTACTAAACCTCTTCACAGAATTTTGAAGCTGTGCACTGTTTTTCAGCCAAATAGTTCCTATTTGTTAAACATTTGTTACTCATAAAACGTGAAGGAAAATTGTGTTTAACTCAAAACCCCCCGTGGTGTGATGTTAAAGATAACAGTGAAAACTCACAGGTCCAGAAATGCAAACCTGAATCTAAGGGCTGTGCTTACTTCCCCATGGTGTGCTGTTGCCTAATAATAGACATATTTAACAGCTCAATTAGTCATCCACCTTATTGTTTGATGTGAAAAGATAAGGCCTACCTCTCAAATTTAGCATGTTGCTGTAGAAATTTTGATTTCTTTCTTCTTGAAAGAGGAATATAGTTAATAGTATTGTGATAACTATGTATGGTGCCAGGTGGGTACTGGAAATACTGGGGGAACACTTTGTAAAGCATATGATTATCTAACCACTCTGCTGTACACTCAAAACTAATATAAAATAATATTGAATGTCAACTGTAATTGAAAAATGAAATTTAAAAAAAACTTCCAACAACTAAATAAATTTGGACCACGTCATATGTGAGGTACTTGATGGCCAAGGATAGCTTGTTTTTAAATGTCTTGAATACATGAAAGAACAGCCATTATTTTACCTCTTTGAAACTATTTTTTTCTAGTTCACATTACATATTTTTACTTCTTATATAAAATTAGAAGTTATATTCACTATATTATATTCATTCAGCGTTAAGGTTAAAGGGAAGTGCGATCCAGAATGATGGAATGAATAATAAGAAACTCAGTTCTAAAACTTACAGTGCTCCACATTGAGTGAGCGGTTCTGGAGCACGCTTCTCCAGATAAAGGATATCAGAATCTTTTAAAGCACTCTCCTCCCTTCTGCATTTCCAACTCAGTGATTTTAATAATCAAGGGAAACGGAGGTTAGAAAAAATCAAGATGAATCCAGGAGTGAGCTCTCAGGCACTGTCAAGAGAGAAATTTGATTAGCTGTGCAATTTGTAGTACCCTACAAGATTAAAACAAACCAATACTTCAGCAAAAACATGATTATTTCTAGTTCTGAGACCTGAAAGAAATTGTTTTCCAACTTTATTGAGATATAATTAACATACAACATTGTGTAGGTTTAACATACAACATGATGATTTGATGCATTTATATATTATAAAATGATTATTTTCATACATTAGCTAACATTCCCTTTCCATTCCATTACATAATTACCATTTTTTTTTTTATGGTGAGAACATTTAAGATCTACTCTCTTAGCAACAATCAAGTATATGGTACAGTATTATTAGCTGTAATCACTATCCTATGTTAGATCTTTAGAACTTGTTAATCTTATAACTGGAAGTTTATACCATTTGACCAATATCTCCTTATTTCCCCAATACCCCAGACCCCAGCTCCTGGTAACCACCATGTAGAGTATTCTCTGTTTCTCTGAGTTAGGCCTTTTTTTTTTTTTTCATATATAAGTCAATATCATACAGTATCAGTCTGACTTATTTCACTTAGCAAAATGTCCTCATTGTTCATCCAAGTTGTCACAAAGAGTGGGATTTTGTCCTTTCTCTTGGCTGAATAATATTCCACTGTGTACATACATACCACATCTTCTTAATCTGTTCATCATTGACAGACACTTAGGCGGTTTCCTTATCATGGCTACTGTGAATAATGCTGCAGTGAACATGGAAGTGCAGGTATCTTTACCAGATCCTGGTTTCATTTCCTTTGGATAAATACCCAGAAGTGTAATTGCTAGTTCATATGGTAGTTCTATTTTTAATTATTTTAAGAACCTCCATACTGTTCCCATAGTGGCTATACCAATTTACATTCTAACCAACAGTGTACAAGCAAGGGTTCCCTTTTGTCTTCAACACTTATTTTCTCGTCTTTTTGACAGTAGCTGTTCTAACAGGTATGAGAAGTATGAACTGATATCTCATTGTGGTTTTGATTTACATTTCCCTGGTGATTAGTGATGTCAGGCACCTTTTCATGTACCTGTTGGCCATCTGTATGTCTTCTTTGGAAAACTGTATTCAGTTCCTCTGCACATTTTCTAATCGATTGTTTTTAAGTATTGACTTATATGAGTTCTTTATATATTTAGATATTAACCAGTTATTAGATATATAATTTGCAAACATTTTCTTCCATTCCATTGATTGCCTTTTCATTTTGTTGATTGTTTCATTTTTTTAAAATCTTTATTGTTGAGAATGTTATAGATGTCCCTCTTTTTTTCCCCCATTACCCCCCTCCACCCAGTTCCCACCCTACTCCAGGCCGTCACCACCCTGTTGTGTGTGTCCATGGGCAATGCATATATGCATATAAGTTCTTTGGTTAATCTCTCTCCACTCCCCCACCCCCCTCTGAGATACGTCAGTCTGTTCCTTGTTTCCCTGTCTCTGGATCTATTTTATTCAGCAGTTTATTTTGTTCATTAGATTCCACATATGAGTGAGATCATGTGATATTTGTCTTTCTCTGACTGGCTTATCTCACTTAGCATAATAATCCCCAGGTCTCTCCATGCTGTCTCAAAGGGTAATAGAGCCTTCTTTTTTACAGCTGCATAGTATTCCATCATGTGAATGTACCATAGCTCTTTTTTTTCTTTTTCTTTTTTAATTATCGATTTCAGAGAGAGGAAGGGAGAGAGAGAGAGAAACATCAATGATGAGAGAGTCATTGATCAACTTCCTCCTGCCCACTGGGGCTCGAGCCTGCAACCCGGGGCATGTGCCCTGCCCAGGAATGGAACCTCGATCTCCTGGATCATAGGTTGATGCTCAACCACTGAGCCACACCGGCCAGGCTGTACCACAGTTTTTATCCACTCATCTACTAATGGGTACTGTTTCCAGAGTTTAGCTATTGTAAATAATGCTGTTATGAACATAAGGGTGCTGCATGTATTCTTTCTAATTGGTGTTTTGGGATTCTTAGGGTATATTCCTGGAAGTGGGATCACTGGATCAAAAGGCAGTTCCACTTTTTAATTTTTTGAGGAAAAACCACACTGTTTTCCATAGTGGCTGCATCAGTGTGCATTCCTACCAGCAGTGTACTAGGGTTCCCTTTTCTCCACATCCTTGCTAGCAATTGTTTGTTGATCTATTGATGGTAACCATTCTGGCTGGTGTGAGGTGATACCTCATTGTGATTTTAATTTGCATCTCTCTGATGATTAGTGATGTTGAGCATTTTTTCATATGTCTCTTGGCCATATGTATGTCCTCTTTGGAGAAGTGTCTATTCAGGTTTTCTGCCCATTTTTTAATTGGATTGTTTGGCTCCCTTTTTAGTTTCCTGTGGTCATGTTTATTTGTTTTTGTTTTTTGTTGTTTGTGCTTTTGGTGTCATATCCAGAAATTATCACCAAGGCTGATGTTAAGGAGTTATTTCCTTATGTTTTCTTCTAGGAATTTTAGTTTTGGGTCTTACATTTAAGTCTTTAATCTGTTTTTAACTTCATTTTTGTGTGTGGTGTAAGATTGGGGTCCAATTTCAATTCTTCTGCATTCTTTCAATTTTCTCAACACCATTTATTAAAGAGACTCTCCTTTCCCCATTGCGTGTTTGTGATTTGTGTGTCAAATATTAGTTGATCATACATGCAGAGGATAATTTCTGAGCTCTCGGTTCTGTTCCATCGGTCTGTGGGTCTATTTTTATGTCCGTGTCATTGTGTTTTGATTACTGTAGCTATGTGAAATAGTTTAAAATCAGGACTATGATGCCTCAGGCTTTGTTGTCTTTTTTCAGGATTGCTTTGGCTATTTGGGGTCTTTCGTGTCTCCATGCAAATTTGAGGATTTTTTTCTATTTCTATAAAAAAATGCCATTGGGATTTTGATAGGGATTGCCTTGAATCTATAGGTGGCTTTGGGTAATACGGACATTTTATTCTTCCAGTCCATGGACATGGAATATCTTTCCACTTGTTTGTATCTTCTTCAGTTTCTTCCACCAAAGTTTTGTTTTCAGTGTACAGACCTTTCATTTCCTTAAATATTTTGTTTTTGATGTAATTGTGAATGGGATTGTTTTCTTTATATCTTTTTCAGATGTTTTGTTGCAGTGTATAGAAACACAACTGTTTTCTATATGTTGATTTTGTATCCTGCACTTTACCGAATTCATTGATTAGTTCTAGCAGTTTTTGGTGGAGTCTTCAGGATTTTCTATATATAAGACCATATTATCTGCAAGAAAATTTTACTTTTTACTTTCTATTTGGAGGCTTTTTATTTCCTTTTTCTGCCTGATTGCTCTGGCTAGGACTTCCAATACTATGTTGATAAGAGTGGTAAGAGTGGGCACCCTTGTCTTATTCCTGATCTTAGAGGAAAA